TCCGGATCCTTTTGTGTTAGTCATTCCTGGCTGCATTTTTGGGTTTGTTGCTTTCTAAAATTGGTCTCTATTAGTCAAGATTGTATCCCCCCTTTCATGTGTTATTTTGGGTTTTTGATTTGGCTTTGTTATATATTGGTGTTTGGTATTTTCAGGTGCTGCTTGTGTTCTTACGGTTTCTTGACTGGAACAGATTATTAATGTAGGTGGAAAGGAATTCAAGTTTACTTGGTCCCGAGAGCTTGGTGATTTATGTGATATATATGAAGAACACCAGAGCGGTGAAGATGGAGAAGGTGTGCTGATTGAGGCCGGGTGTGCTTGGCGGAAATTGAATGTTCAACGTACTCTTGATGAGTCTACCACTAACCACATGAAGATGCGCTCAGTTGAAGCTGAACAGAGAACCAAATCACGCAAGTATAAGTTTTGAGGGTTACTTACCTTTTTCATCTCATTTTTTTTTACCCTATCTTTTTAGTAGTCCTCTTATTAGGTCTGTGAACAAAGTATTGGCAATTTGATATACATGTTGTTCATCTAAATGCAGTTTCGAGGTGTTGTGGAGGGGAGCTTTACTTTCGTAGGCTCTGAGTTTAGTTATGGCCTTAATTAGTTTCTGTTTAAGCTGATTCATGAAAAATTTTCTTGGATATTATGACCTTTTCCATTCTCAGACATCACATAGTTGTTCCTCACAGTGCATTGATAATTGGGAACTTTGTTTGCCATCTTTAATTTAGTATCACAAAAGTAGTAGAGATATGCGATGGTTATCTGAATCACTGCTGCTTCTCCTGGTTCCTGTTGACAGGGCAATCGTGTTAGACCCTGGGAATCCATCATTGACCAAGCAGTTAGCTCTTGCAGAAGGTAACTTTTTGGTTGAGATATTTTCGTCGACTTTTTCGATATGCAAAATTATTATGAAACTTATTTTCAGTACACAAGACACTGTGCTTCTGTTCCCATAAGCTTAGTTTGGTCTGCTTTCCTCTCAGATTCTCTCGTCCTTCAAAGTTCAAATTCAGTAATAAGAATTTTACCCGTGTAGTTAACCATCCGGGTTTTTAACTGAAACGTGTGCTCTTAATATTCTTCTCCCTTATGTTCTAGACATATGAGTAGCTAGCGCATGATGATATCTGGAGTTGACTATTAATATTTTGACATCTCCCTTGTCCTGTCAGCAAATCCATGGAGAATGTTGAATAAACAGAAAAAGGAACAGTCACACAAGAAGTGGAAGATTGAGCCACCCCCAGGTATATAGACAAAGACTACTGTCTGATTGGTTTGTGGCAACACATTAAAGTGTTGAAAAGCTTATAGGCTGTTGCATTTCCTTGATTTCTTCCTTTTGTAATGACTTCTGAATTCTGATGCTTTTGCTAGTTCCAATTGGAGGTCCAAGGCCTGCTCTCAAACCAGGGGCTTCAACCACTGCTAGTAAAGGTAGACCCTCAGCTTCACCGGGATCATCTCCTCCTAATCTATCCAATGCTTCATCTTCTCCATATGGATTTGGGAATTTTGCTAAAAGTCATACAGCCAGTGAAGATGTTCCTTCAGTCCAGGCAAAGGGCAAAGAAAACCCAGTTGTTAGCGAAAAAGATCCATCAACGAGGGCCACTAATGCATTATGGGACACATCTGGAAACAAAGCCACTAATATTGACAAACCAATTGATTTGCAGACAATGCTGATTAATCTCCTAAAGGATGCTCCAATGAGCTTGGAGGTAGCATATAAGAGGGAATGTCATTTTCATGCCCATTTTCATTTCCATCATTTGCTATCAATGATGCACTCTCTTTCTATAGGCACTGGAGAAGGCTGTTGGTGATAAAATCCCTAATGCTGCAAAGAAGTTTGAACCAGTTTTGAAAAAAGTAAGCAACGATGACCTTAATATGGTATCTGGAAGCAGTATGTATTCTTACTTCTCTGATTATTTTTGATAACTAGATAGCAGATGTGCAAGCTTCAGGAAGGTATTTCTTAAAATCAGGTGCAGAGTTGGAAAGCAATAAGAAGCTTTCACCTGAAACTGGAAGGTATGTACAATCTTAAATAATATTGTTGAAAGGTCGTGTGGAGAAGGCAGGTCCTCACAATATGGCACTTGTGATCTGTCTTTTGATTTACAAATGCGTCTGGTGTAAAGAATATCATTGGTCAATCTTATATGACATGAGGATAGCATCCCTATCATAAGGAAAAAGTATCAATTCATACCCTCCCTATTAGACTGTTTGTTTTGCAGATTTTCACAATCTCGCGCATCATAAATATCTCTCTTGCTTCATTAAAACTTATCTGAAAATAAAGCAGAATAAAGGAGATAACATCACATGTCTTCTTATCTTCAAAACTGTCTATGCAGCTAGTTGAATTAAGAGTCATTAGTATTATTATCATATCAGCTAGGGTAGAACGAATTCAAAAGCTGTAAAAAAAAGTTAACTGCAAGATATGCTTTTTCTAATGTTTGATAACTCGCTTCCATGCATGTAGTTGTACTTGGTGTTTATATAATTTTTCTTTTGCAGCTCTCCTGAAGACCAGCAATTGTGTCTAATCACTGAGTGCAGTCATGAACAATCACCTGTTCTAGGGGCCAAGAATGTGGAGAATATTTCTGTATGTGAGCCTAGTGGAAAGTATCAACAAGATGATATAAGTGTACATCCAGAAGGACAATCAAGTTCGCCAGAAAATGTGGACATTGAACGCCTTTCACCTGGAATTCTTGGCGAGGAAAAGCCATATGAAAATGGAGAAGACCAGGCTGGTAGTTCTGGTGATTCCGCAAGCGATAGTGACGGTGATAGTGAAAGTGACAGTGAGAGCAGTAGTGACTCTGAACCTTCTTCCAACAGTAAGGAGGGTTCAGATGTGGATGTGGATATCATGAGTGATGATGACAGACAGCCCCGACATACAATTGAGTCAGCTGAAATCGGGTTGCCTGCATCTACTCTCCCAAGTCAAACTGATTTTTGTGCCGCTGGTCTCAATGAATCTGCTGAAAAAGAAGGGGATGATGGATTTGATGCTTATGATATCGCGGGTCATGATTCTGATGCTGTTGATATTGAAGGTAATGATTCTGATGCTGTTGACATTGACAGACCCAGGTCTGGTTCTGTTGGCATCGATGGTCACAGCTCTGATGAGGGTCATGGTTCTGATGGTGTCAGAACCTTTTTCCCTGATAATAACTGTAAATTGGAACCCATTACTGCTAATACCAGTGCTGCAAATGAAGATGGCAGGGATTTGGGTTGGGGACATTTTTCTTCTGATCACGATAAGATACGAGAGCGGCACGACTTTATTGGTAGGTTGTTTGATGACACAGAGAATATAGTGAAGGATAGCTTCGACAATGAGCAATCTGATAGCCCTGAGATGCGAGCCAGAGGTAACACCAAAAGGGGCCCTGATCTGGAGCACTTCAATCAGAAATCAGAACGGGTGAAAAGGATGAAAGCCGAGAGCATGAAGCAATTTCCTACTATGCGTAAAGAGCATGTTCAGCCTCCGGAAGGCATGTACGACCTGTCACCTACTATCAAGGTCTCTGCCAATCACATGGTAGATCCAGTCGAGAGGGAAACTGATGCTAATTGTGATCCAGGTAGAGGACCAAGCAAGGCATTTATAGAAAAATCGAATTCAGATTTCCCGCCATTTAGTGTCAAAATATCTAAAAGCTTGCAGATCAAGCCTACTGATGGAAAAGGGAGATCAAACAAACATATCGATTCCTCGGGAAATGTCCGTAAATCTGCTTATTCACATGAAATTCTTTCTAACCGAACAGGGAAGGTTTCTGGGGACAGCAAAAAGGACAGTAATCATCCAAAAGATAGGTTCCTAAGGAATAAAAAAGATGGTGAATCAGCACGCCAACTTGCATTACCTTCTGAAGGCCCTGGTAAAAAACACGGTAAACTGGAGGGAAATGGCAAAGACGCTAAGAATGTTTCAGGCTTGAGCTCGGGATCGTCCCCCTTCGATAATCAGAGAACATCTTCGCCAAATTTCCATGTCAAGGGAAATGGATCTATGCTCCAAAAGGTTGTCTCAGATTTGGAGGTGGGTGAACTTCGTGAACCATTGGGTGAAGATACAGCAGCTAAGCAGCTTGAAAGGAAAAGCTCTTTCCGGCAGTCAGATGATAAACCAAGCACTTCAGTGAGCTGGGATTTGGAATCAGATAAAAGAAAGCCATCCAAAAAATCTAACTTCGACTCAAAAAAGCTGGCACCTACACATACTGGCAATGTTATTAAGGGAATGCCAGGACAAGGCATTGAAGATTCAGCAAGATCTCACAAATGGGGTTTGCTATCACATGCACCTCGTCATTCAGGATCAGAAAATAACGAAACTGGTTCACAATATGGCCAATTGGAGGAGAAAAGTAATAAATCAAGGCCAATTGACAGCGGAACAAGACCGGGAAGCAGTGTCGGAGGTTATGGAGAGACCATAAAAAAGGCATCAACTGTTGCACCACAAAGACATGGCTCCAAACGGGGATCTGTTCCCCGCTCTTCAAGGGAGAGTAAAAGACACGCATCGGGTGCAACTGCAAATTCGGTCAATGGACAGAACGATACGGGTCTAATACCAAGTGATGGTGTTGGTCGGAAGAAAAGAGAGACATCTTTTGATGAAGAAGACTCCGCATATTTGAAGTACGAAAAGGCTTCTCCTGAGCTGAAGGGACCTGTCAGTGATCATTCCCAGTAAGTAACACGAAACTGTGATGTAATAGAATCTCCACTGAGCTTAAGTGTTATATATATCTAATAATTATGTCTTTAATATGTCAGATATAAAGCCTACATACAGGAATATCAAGAAAAATACGGTAGCTACTGCTCCCTCAACAAGATATTAGAAAACTACAGGTAGCTGGATGAATTCCTTGGCCACAATTATTGGGTTCTATCACTTGTTTTGCCCATTTTATCGCTTCTCTCGACTTTTCGGTTCTGTTTTTTTTTTCAGAAATGAATTTCAAAAAATGGGAGAAAATCTTGAGTTCACTAAAGGCAGGGATGTGGAAATGTATAACAAAATTTTGCAGCAGTTGAAGGGTTCTTACCGCAAATACGGGGAGGTAATGTTCTATCTGATAACCTCTTTCTTTATGTAATTTTGTCCTCTGGAATACTAAAAGTTGAAATACTATTTCTTGGAAGAAAAGATTTTGGATTAATTTCCACCTCTATACCTAATATCAGATACAATCATACAAAAGAATGAAATTTGGATACAGATTTGTCATAAGTAAACTTCGGTGTATATATATATGTTATAGTTAGGATTTGTATGCATATTTTGTAGTCGGGTCGGGTCAAAACTCATCGATGTTTATCGTTTTGACTTTATTTTTTGTTTGCTAACGTTATCTACTACATAACCCGCAGAGGCAGAAACGTTTGATGAGAATATTTGTTGTTCTACATGAAGAACTGAAGGTAAATTTTTCTTCACATTCTCAGTTTTGAGCATTTTTATCCGGTGGATCTAAATATGGTTAACCATAAAACGCAGAATCTGAAGAAAAGAATGAAAGATTACGCGTCTTCTCGTGGAAATGATCGATCACGACACGTTTTGTAGCGATGAAACTCTTTGAGATATTCATTGGTGTAAAAAAATATATGATTCATAGTCTCAATTTTTTGTGTTAGTTGTAGTAATAGACAAGACAATTCTGGTTAGATATATATCTTCTCCCTGAGTTATTGTGTTTTAGCTTCTCTTTTTTTTTCGGACCCTCGACGGTAAATTTGTACATGGAACTACGAGGGTAATGACTAATGAGTGGTGGTGGTTATCTTTTACCGGACCTGATTATACAAAATCTAACCATTTGATTTTAAATTTTATTTTCAATTTGTTATAAAAAAAAAATTGTTATCATTTTTGTTCGTTCGTTATGGTTTATTCAGTTTCATTTGATCCAACTAGAAAGTATCGGAAAAATCCGGATGAATACCGTTCTCCACTCCACACTCCACACTTAGATTCAAACACGGATAAAAGCATATTCTACCGTTAGGTCATCCAATCTTGGTTCTTTCATAAATATTCATCATCAAAGCCAACGACTTCCTCTTCAGATTCTTGGATCAGCAATGGCTGCGTTTCCATTCCTCAACTCTCTGAAAAGACAGGTTGAGTCGAGACATATCTTAACAACAATCGTTGTTTGTTAGTGCAGAATCGGGCATCGGCCTACAAGTTTGTTCATCAAAATGCAAATATAAGGATGGTAGAAACCGTCGCAAAATTATCCATTCATTTCTTTACCGATCCATGTTAGCAAAAGAAAATTCAAATATGATTTAACCTAAAGTTTCCATGGGGGAAAATGGTATCCTCATGAAAAGTTTTCACTTTTAGACCTTAAACGCATTCCCATGGGAATGCTCAGGCAGCCAATATCACCTCTCCATTGAAAATGACGTATTTTCCGACGTTCTTTCAATATATGAGAAAGAACATACAGAAAAACCGAGCTTAAAAGAAAGAATATAAAAGGAAAACACAGAGATGCTTACTTGGCTCGCTCGAGTGTCAGCTCAATAAACTCAGAAATGTCTCCACAGTAACAGATTCCGTCATGAGGAACAACTACCCATGCCTGCTCAAGAAATTCAGCAAGGAAGAGAATAAAAGATGAAAAGAACAAGACTGTTACTCAAAATTCATATCCTAATCCATAAGAAAGCAGGACCCAAAGTGCTTTTAGACTGCTATAACTTAAATACCGAGCAGTTAGGAATACCTCGTCCTCTTTGGCATCCGCCTCCCCAGCATTTTTCGTCCCGTCTTCTTGCCCATAACGCTCATTCAACCGATCCATGGCTGCTGTAACAACGCCATTATAATCAGACAAGGGTATGAACAAGGGTATAATCAGACAGGTACAACTTCTAGGTTTCAGCTCAGCTCGTAGAGAATTGGTAAGTCAATAACATGTCAGAAAAAAGTTGCAAGAAGAATTGACCTCTTCTGGTTAAGGGTTTTGAGATCATTAAGATCCAACTGAGATGCAAGACAAGTTCAGAAGTTTCAGACTAAAAATGGATACAGGATACATTCTTTAGGCATTCATATGTACACACAACAACAGGTCTAGCTATCATACCGATGGATCATCCAGATTATCGTCCTATTAAGACAAAGAAAACAAGGCTTTCTACTTATAATGTGTTTCTCTACCAATTGAATTCAGCTTGTTAAACAAGCAGTGCCCAGAAGTTCACTGTATTCGGCATTGCTAAAGATGGATCACTGGACAGTAGACCATGTAGACATGGAAGAAACCAAACATACACAATCATGGTGCATAGTACCTGAGGAGAAGCTGATATCTGGAAACATCGGATTCCAAGTGTTTAGGGCACACCTTTGGTAGAATGAATTTCTGTAACAGAACTTCAAAGAGAAACTGTTGTATCAGCCTGATAAAGAACAGACAGAAACACCATATAGACCATTAAAATCCTCCTTAGGTATAGCTTCAAGAGCTTCAATGTCAATCTCCTGTTCTGGTTATAGTCTACAATAAGGAGACATAACGAAAACCCAACCAACGATTGTCAGATCAATTTACTTGAGATCGATAACAATCAGAATACATAAAGAAAAGGCATGAAAATCTGCAGAACAGATCTTCGTTATCTAAAAATCCCATGAAGTTCACAGTTATGCAGCAGGCGATAGCATCTCTCAACGCTCCATACACAAGCTCGAGTAAAATTGATGCTGATGAAGAAAAGATCGCAAGATGGAAGAAGGGTTTGATCGGATTTACCGGTCATGGTTACCCGGCTGGTTATCGAAACACAAACTTTCCCGAAACTCAGATGTCGTCAGATGTCTGAAAATCGAAGATCATAGTCGTCTTGTGACCAGGAAAGATTAGTGAAGGCTGAAGAAGACGACGACGGGAGCTCAAAAACGATGTCGTTTTCATACCGTTCGAACCCACCTTGGGTTTTCCTTTTTTGTTTTTTTTTCCTCCCCCCGACGAACCAAACAGAATTTAACAACGAAACAAAAGAAAAGCCTCTCTCTCTCTCTCTCTCTCTCTCTCTCTCTCTCTCTCTCTGACTGACTGCCTCTCTTCCTTCATCTCCTTTCTCCCGGCGTTTCTTCCTCAGAGACGGAGGAACGGAAAACCCTTCCAGAGAAAAACCTCTGTTTCTGTTATCGTTCGATGAGAGAGTAGCGACAGGACATCTGGATCTCTTGCCTTCTCTGGCAACCCTTTTCTTTCCCAGATCTTTCTCTCGCCAAAGAAAAAAACCCTTTTCAACGAGTTCCGCATCTTTGTCTACGGTTTTCAACTTCTGGGCTATTGTTTGCATGTCGGATTTTGAGGGTTTCCTCTGATTCTATCGTTACAGGACGGGACGGAAGAGGAGAACTTCATGGGCGATTTCGTAAGCTGCAAAGTTTGAGACTTTAGATCAGTTTTGGAAGTTTTGTTTGCTATTCCTTTCTGGGTTTTGGTTTCTTTTTTTGTTTCTGGTATCTTTTGGTTGTGTCCTCGGGGTTCACACGGAGTGGTGTGTGTTGTGTCTGATGGGGAGTAGTGATGAACCAAACATCAAGGCCTTTGATGCGTCGGTCGGGGGGTTAGTTTGGGTCCGCCGTCGGAACGGGTCGTGGTGGCCGGGTCGGATCATGGGTTTTGACGAAGTTCCTGAGAGTTCTTTGGTTTCCCCTAAAGCAGGCACTCCAATAAAGCTCCTAGGTCGTGATGATGCAAGCGTGTGAGTATTATTAACTACACGTTCATTCTCTACCTTGTTCTTCGATTTGTTTGAGTGATTGAATTGAGTCTTCTCTGGTTTCTTTGTGAGCATGTTTTATGGGATTTGGTTTTGTAACAAGTGCTGTGAATCTGATTATTTTCTTCAACAGTTGATTGATGGAGATCAGAAAATTCGCAGGTCCTCTTTTCGATCTCTGGCAGAACATTGGTGTAAGTTGTAGAATAGATACCTGGAATATGTGGAAGTTTAAGTTTTTTTATATCTAATCTTATGGGAGATGAGTTTCTTAGATTTAAATTGGTGTAACTTCTCATGACACTGTAGGTCAAGGGGAAGAAAGAGCGCTTTGTTCTACTCTCTTGCCTTAGTTTTTGTTTCATTGTGGTTTTTGGCATCTGAAATCAACTTTCACTCGGTATAGGAGGATAGTGCTGAACTGTATTTCTGCATTATTCAGGGCCATAACAATTCTCAGAACTCGTTGGCGTTTTCAGTCTAGGAAACGATCATTTTCATTATTGTTTCAGGGATTGGTATAACCTTGAGAAGTCCAAGAGGGTGAAGGCTTTTCGTTGTGGTGAGTATGATGCTTGCATTGAGAAGGCGAAGGCTGCTGCCGCCAGCTCCGGGAAGAAGGCTGTCAAGTATGCTCGTCGAGAAGATGCCATCATCCATGCCCTCGAGATCGAGGATGCACACCTCGCCAAAGATCATCACGAGCTCGAAATAGTCAATTCTCCCATTGAGAAGATTAGTTCATCTGGGGAGGTTTCAAAAAGGGTTCATTGTAAGAAAGATAATGAGGAAACAATCGATGTAGGAGATGCTAAAGATGGGTCGGATTCAGGACATTTGCTGTTGGAATCCAATCATGATGGAGTTTCTAGGGGACGACCAGTGTCAGAAAAGAGAAGAAGAACCCCTAATGACTCGGAAGATGATGGAACTGAAGGGATCAAGCGTATGAGAGGGCTTGAGGATCTTGGAATGGGCATAGGGTCCAAAGGGAGAGGACAGGCCAATGCACTGCTTGAGCATATCAGACATGAAAACGGTTTGCAGTGTGATGTAACCCTCAATGATGCTTTGTCTAATGGGACTCTTGTCAATGGTGACAGGGTATGCTCCCCTTCACCGAAGAGAAAAAGGTCTCAAATTATAAATTCCAACGAGCATTCTAAGAGGAAAAATCGGCGCCGCCCATTGACAAAGGTGTTAGAGAATACAGCTATGGTGTCTGTCCCAGTTACCTGTGATCAACTTGTCAGTTCTGATTGCTCACCTCTTACAGGGTTTTCTGACAGTGAACTGTCTGGAAAGGTGCCTATTGAATCGGTGAAAAGTTTATCCCCCGTGATCAACAATAATTCAGATAGCACTGTGGTCTCATGTGAGAATGACGGCTCGTTAAATGCTTCAGAGAACGTTTTTGAAGCCTCTCATAACAAAGTAAAAGATAGTGAAATCTCTAGCATATCAGATTTGGCGGTGAATGGCTCTTCCG